AAGAGATTTCAACAATTTCGCTGTTCGATCGATTTATACTACCTCGAGTATCTTCTGCTGCAACACGTGGCCATGAAGGGTGGATGGATCCGCGGAACCAGTGTGATAACCGCTCGATGTCAAGGTGGTCGTAGTAGCGCCAACTCCGCCGACCAAGTCTCTCGGTCTGGACATCGGGGAGCCTGGTGTGTCCCTGGCCATCTCTGTGCATCGACACACATCGATATATATGTGTATATATATGTGTGTGTGTGTGTGTATATATATATATATATATCCGTAGAAGAAGAATCGATACGCATACGCGATTATCGTTTTACGACTCTAAGTAAAAAGATGGGTAATAGCCTCGTGATGGTCGAAAGGAGAAATGGTGGACGTGAGACGCGGGTATAACGACTATAATAATAATAATAATAATAATAATAATAATAATGTGAACGTCGAAAGAACGGAGGTGTATTCCGCGGTATCGCGAAAACGAGCAACGAGTTTAATGGTTAAACAGAGACGGATGGACGGTCAGCCGAGTCTCGATACCGCGGTTATTTTTAGAAGCGTCATGCGCGGCAAGTACCTTATCTTCTCTTTTTCTCGCGTTTAATCGAGTTTTAATCCACCGCCGATGGTCTGGTCGTCGAGCATGTTCGGAACACACCGGCCGAAATATTCTTCTTCACCGGCGGAAGTCAAGGGAAGAGAGGGGGGCGAGCGGAAATCGAGAGAACGATTTCGACGTTTTTTTCCACGTTTTAAATCGAAGGCGACTCTCGTTGTTCGCGCGGCTCTCGCTTGATTTCGACGTTTTCGATCTCGATTCGAACGCCTCCAGCGAGTCGTACGAGTCGTGATCCCTTTTCCGTTCCTTACCTTTCTGCGGTAGATGCGTAAACGCGGACGCGATCTCGACACTTCTGTAACCCACGTCTTCTGAAACAGAGAGATAGAGAGAGAGAGAGAAAAAGAGAGAGAGAAAGAGAGAGAGAAAAGTCTGGTATAAAAAGAGATAAACAAAACCAAAGTTTTTTTATCGCTCGATCGGAAAAGCTTGCTTGCTCGGTTCGTGCGGACGAGAAGGAAGGGTTATACAGCGCAGGCGCAGAGCGATACGCGACCAAGCCTCGATTCTCTCGATTTGAATGGGATCGATCGGGCGAAATCGGTTGGAATCGGTTGGGAACGGATGGGACGAGAGAAGAACGGGCCGAAGATGAGCGCGAGCGCGAACGGATCGAGACTCGACGAGCGTCGAGTTAGCGGGCGAGCAGAGGTCACTGTACGCTGCGAGAATTCCNAGTCAAGTCCAAGGTTAATCGTGGAGGAGGGCCGTTCCTCGACGGGTTTGCTTTGCCGCTCTTGTTCACCTCTCTTTCCTTCGTGCTCCTGTTACCCTAACCGAAAGGTAGCGATCGCAATTACGTTCGTTCAACCGGAAATATCGAATATTATGCCCCGATTTATCGATATTTATCGATATTTATTATACGGTTATTTATCCGAAACCCGTTCTATCCGCCATACTTTTTTTTTTCCGTCGCGTTCGAAAAATCCGTCGAATTCCATTCTCTTTATCGCGCTAACTCTCTCGAAATTCGATTCTCAGACATCAGGTTGAAAAAAAAAAAAGAGAAGGAACGTTTTCGAT